CGTCTTTTGATATGACGCGGCCAGACCTTCCCCTTTCCGGGCGGACGCTCTACCACTAGACCACAGAGGCGATCGCAAATTATAGAGAAATTACGTATCAGTCAAAACATTGATCAAGTGGGAGATATCACTCGAATCTTAAGTGCTCGTTGAATCTACCTCCGCATTCAAACGAGTCTCACGATTTCCCTATTACATGGTCAATACTGTCGAAAAAGCACTGAAATGTTTTTACAATTACGCGATTTTGCAATACTAATACTCGTTGTTAACTAATTTTGAGTGAAATCCTTTTTTTCCGCGACCACCGAATCCCGTTATATATGCTATTTTGGGATTATCTGATTTGTAACAGGTGGCAGACAGAGAGTGACACCTGTAACACATGCGCCTCACGAACAACACACTACGAGTCTGAATTAATTTCACTTTTAAAAACAATTAGTTTTCAAAATGAGTATGAAAAATAGCTACTCTTTATAGTGAGCGAGTTTGGTTTTACGCCGCTTTTAGCGATATGCCGGCAATATCACGGCGGGGGACACTAGAAATGGGCTTCGCATATTGTACCGATGTCGGGAATCGAACCCGGGTCTTCGGCGTGCCACGCCGTGGTATAACTGAAAACTGTTTAAATCGTCGCTAAACCCAATTCACTCACTTCGTTGAAACCCATGAACACGGACATTGTCGTGACAAACCAAGGATCACAAGCGCGGCAAATCCGGGATCTGAACAATCATCGCAATGTCCTTGTGCACGTCACGCGCATTTTTCACGTTTGTGATACAGCTCGTCTCATGCTTAGCCTCATCGCAAAAAGGGGCAACGGATGGCCAGGTCGTCTAGGGCGTCGCAATTTGCTGTGTAGAGTTGCGTCCTTTTGGTTCGAATCCCGGTTCGCCGATTGGGGTATTCATGTTAAACTGCGGCACATATCTCACTGGGCCAGCACCAGCACACACACACACACACACACACACACACACACACACACACACACACACACACACACACACTATATATATATATATATATATATATATATATATATATATATATATATATATATATATATATATATATAAAGTGCAATAATCGACGTTAAACCCCATTTCACCTTCACCTCTGACACGCCGTGATATAACTGGAATACTGTTCAAAGCGGCATTTAACCCAACTCACTCACTCACTCATATCCTTAAAAAACATATCCTTTGTGTTTCGCCCTGCAAAAACGTTCATACGATGGAGAATATGGTCAACACACGTTCGTGTATTGGATACTTATGGACGAAACAAATACCTCATTCTGATGCAACGCATACCCTGTCTGTTAGACTAAATCCATGAGAAAACTGATTGATATAAGTCATAAAACCGACCATTCAAGTCACGAACAAAGTTACCGTTAGTTTGAAACCTAATCACACAATGGACATCTGTTGCATATTCACGCTGACAATTGGTTCCTGTGACTGGCAGACAGACATACAGACATTGTATTCAAGTAAAATACGGCGGCGAAAAATACATTCAGTACAAATGATTTATGGGGCAAAGATAAATTTATTTGTTTGGTTTCGAGTATTCAACAATGTGTTTACTTTATATAAATATGAGGTAGGGTTACATATAACATCGAAAATAAATTAACGGGCAAGAGAAACGGCAACAAACAATTTTCTGACCTAAAACAAAAAATGTAGTAACAGCTAATGTTTTATTATTTAATAAAACAATTATTCAAAACGGTATTTGAAAATGACAAGATAAAAAATCATGTACTTAAAGTTCTGCAGACACGTTTATCATGCTGGGTGCACTGTCCAGTATTCGATCACACCCGCAGAATCGACGTTGATCGCTTTTAAAGTCCCGTGCTACACACATGGCTAAGTATCGGATGTGACCCCCTCCAGCAACGATGCAGGCCCTAACATGTCGTTGAGATGAGTCTCTTGACATCCTGATTAGGGATCCTACGCCATTTTTTCCTGCAGGGCAATTGCCAAGGCATCCCTCGTCAATGGGGGCTGTTGACGTTTCCCAGTTGGTCCCAGAGGAGCTCTATGGGCGACAGGTCCGGTGATCTGGCTGTAATATGGTCACGATGTTGGCGTTCAGAAAGTCGCTAGTGACTCGAGCTGTGTAAGCTGCAAATGGGAGCGACGCAGGAGCACGTTGCCATGGCCTGCTTCAAGTGCACCATCGCCAGACTTGTCACGGGGGCACGGCGTCTAAGGCGCCGCGATTCGCTGTGCAGAGTTGCGTCCCTTGGGCACGCCAGAAACCTATGATTGTGGGTTCGAATCCCGGGTCGCCCCGATTATGTTTCTAGGTTTGTCAGCACCATACCCGTGCTCGTGGGTTTCACCGAAGTGGTAAACGTCTGAGACCTGCATCACTTCGGGCTTTCCTCCCACATTAAGCTGACACGCCGTGATATAAATGGAATAATGTTAAAAGCGGCGCTAAACCCAACTCACTCACTCACTCACCAGACTTGTCACACGTCACGGGCAAAGAGGCAGTACTGCAGACAGGCCGAGGAGTGGAAGACCCAAGGTCACGACCCAATAGGAAGACCGGTATTTACGAGTGTTTCATCATCCGCAAACAGCTTTGGATTTCTAGTCAGCAGAAGGATCCTTACTGGACGACTCCGCATGTATGGTCTCCGTCCCTATCGACCTTTAAAGGGCATGACGTTAACAATTCTACACCAACGTCACAGACTGAGATGGGCCAGGACTGTACGGCAGCAGACAAATTGGCGAAGAGTGCTCTTCAGCGACGAGTGTAGGTGCCAGCTACTCAAATCTGATGGGCGGGTTCGAATCTACCAACGACGTGGTGAACGGACGGCACGTTGTTGCGTCCAAGAAGTTGAGCCTTTTGGAGGTGGTAGTGTCATGGTCTTGGCTTGCATCTGCGGGGACCAGAAGACAGATATATTCATCATCATCTCACTGCACGTCGTTACATTGATGATGTTTCTCGGCCTGTGGTACTGCCTTTCGCGCAACGACACCAACGGACGCCGTTTCAGCAGGACAACGCTACCCCTTAACCGATGGCTCTCCCCCTCTACTCTGCGGTTAGTCGTTGTTTTAAACGGTTTCGTGTGATGTACAGTCCTGCTCATTTTCTATACCAGTATTCATATGGGTATCTTTGTGCACATTTTGCATTTTTTAGTGATTAAATTCACTTTTCTCGCAAATCACGTGAAGCATGTGCACATGTTCACAAGTAGAGGTAAGGTGCATTCCAGCCATGTGTTCCCAACTGTTTCGTGCTGTTTGGCAAATTTGTTGAAACCAGACGACCATTATTTATTTGTCCTAACATAAGAGTCAGGATCACAGACAAGTAAAACCTGCATTTCATTTCTAACACGTAAGTCTTATGATTTACTTGTCATAACGACTAGTTTCATCAACTATTTAAAAATTACCGCTTCTAAATTGATGCTATTAGTGCTCTATCGGGACTTATCTGCATACAACAACTTCCTCGTGTCCAGCAATAGGATAGAATTACCGAGGCGTCATCATAACCTCATGTTGGCATTTTAACTATTGCAATAGGTGACGTGAGGTGAAATTTAACGCCGCGTTCAATAATAATTCACTCACTTCTATGTACAAAGCGACGGGCATAGGTGTGCGTGACTGCTTGTGCTAATCCGGATTTATGTCGGTTTTGTTTACAGAATTACAGAAATACCAGCCTGCTGTCAAACCATGCACGTTCGCCATTCACTAGGGTCGGTAGATGGCCTTGTTTGTCTGTTTGTTTGTTGCTCTCAGCAATATTGCCACTTTATGACAACGGCTTATAAATAATCAAGACTGAACCGACAAATCAGTGACTGATACTATGAGCAGATTCGCTGCACCGTCGGTCAGATACTACAGACAGCCCAGTTGGTTAAAAAAGACATCTAACGAGAATGAGTGTGGTACTGTCAAAAGCGGTTGCAAATCTGGTTGCTCATAAATGTTGATTTAACTGGCTGGGTTACTTCTCATTTGAAATGGGGGCACGGGTGGCCCAGTCGTCTAAGGCGCCGCGATTCGCTGTGCAGAATTGCGTCCCTTGGGCACGCCAGAAACCTCTGAGACCTGCATCACTTCGGGCTTTCCTCCCACATTAAGCTGATACGCCGCGATATAACTGGAATACTGTTAAAAGCGGCGTTAAACCCAACCCACTCACTCTCATTTGACATAAACAAAGATATAAGTGTAAAGTTGCAAAATGTTTAATGCATGTGAAAGTCAAAGGTTATGCAACTGTAACTAACATGCCATGGCTTTACAATGCTGCTCGCATGAAATGAAACCAACAGTGACTTGTGATAGCCACACGCCGTCACACTCTAACCAGATAAGCACAGAAATTAGACAACAATGTGCCTTACACAACATACAAAATAATCATCCCTCTTGATACTGCAAATTGCGAGCAGCAAGCTAACGACAGTGAGTTAATGCACCTTATAGCCATTCCAATAATAGTGTTGGGAGGGTGATTGCCTTTGCCAAACGCACATGTACCATGCTTGTCACCAAGAAGTCTAACTGAGATAACTCTCAGTTCCCTCGAACTAAGTGAAGTGCTATTTTCCTAACACTTATTAAAACTGAATTTAAGTTACCTCAAATTACACACTTTAACTGGTTGTGTTACTTCTCATTAAAAGATATAAGTGTAAAGTGGCAAATTATTCAATGCATTTGTATGCCAAAGGCTATATGCAAACCGGAAATATTAAACCTGCAACTATGGGGAAACCATAATGAGAAATAAAAAATTAATTTGGAGATGGGGTGATAACAAAACAAAAAGCAAAACATATTTAGACTGCTGCATAAACCACCCAAGCAAAAACTGTTCCGACAGTTGATTCAAAATCATATCTTAACATAGCAGACTGTGACCAATCGCCTTCAATGCATCCATTTCGGCTGTAACTGGCATCTTCAGATACTTCAGACAAGAGTCACTTTCCAGAAACCAAGGCTCCCCTCACCCGGTACACCTGAAGCAAAGGCACATGTGGCCTTTCCCCTTCGGAAGGAATGACCGGATATACGAGACTTATAACCCTTAAGCATTGTTCTAATAAGGGATACGAATGCCACTTTTGATACGGCTTACATTGAAGAAGTGCAGAACTGAGGCTCACTTGGCTGTTGGAGATGGTGTAAACGAAGAAGATGGTCCAGCGATTCTGCTGGGCACAACACTTTCCCCTGTAATCTTGGCAATAACACCTTAAAGTTCTCTCTCTAAACTGCAGTTTCTTTGTTACCCTCAGATCCAGCACATAACCGTCGCCCGAGGCTTAGAGATCAGTGACTCTCAAATCCCCATCTGGATTAAACTGTGACGCACAGAGGAAACTGACTGGTCGTAGAAAGCCGGAAAAAGCTGTCATACAGGCCGCCCACACACTAGCGTGGCTTAACTCAGACTGCTTGATTTTAGAATATTTCAGCATCAACAACTTTGGCGTCTCCTAGCTCACGCTTTACTCCCTGGAGGACATTATGAAGACTCCAACTTTGCTTCACAGGATCCACAACACCATTTTCCTTAAGCAGATTTGATACTGGTGCCAAGTAGCACCTGACAGAGCTTTTCCACGAAGGTGACTAACTGTACTCATTGGTGTCTTGTGAAGAACTGTCGAGCCACCTGGATTGAACAAATGACACACATATGGTATCCTTATTCCTCTCTGCTAGGTGGTACCATAGACAAAGTAGTACCAGCTCGTGTAAGCCTGACAACTGTCCTTCCTCTGACAACCGAGACGACACAATCGGCGAGAAATCTGCGACACTTTCTTCCCTTGATGTGCACTGCTTGTAATTGAATTTTGAACACTGCTTGGGCCCAAAACAGATATTTTATATATGTCATGGCAAACCATTCCTCACAGTCCCCTCATTAATCGCTGCCCTACATGTAATGTGTGTCCGTATGCACAATAACCTGGCATTTTGTAAAACACTTTTCCAGCATTCCACCGCCAACACAACAGCCAGGATTTCTTTCACAGTTTATCTGCTACATCTGGAAGGTCGACATCCCAATTTCAATAAGCATAATCTCCATCACAGTACGCACAGCACCACTTTGACAAGCATACGTAAACATTGGTGCCACTGGAATATTTCGGATAATGCACCTGCATCCATTAAATAAGCATAAATCTACACCACCAGCATACATCATCATCCAACTCAACTTTATGATTTCTGCCTGCCAATGAATTCTTCAAATCCATAAGTCTCTTCAAATAAGTTCTGCCTCCCAGCACGACCTGCACAGCTTACCAATTAAGCTCTTCATCTGACGCTTCCTTGTCCTAGACCTGTTATGAAAATCTTCCAGGACTACAAGAAACTAACCACACTTTTCTCTCGGTAGTGATAAGGTCCTAGCTTCTGTGTTAATCTCAACACCTAAGAAAACTTGACAATGTTATGTCACAGATCCCTCGAGTTTCTTCCAATTCATATCGAACATCAGGTAACTAAGAACTGATACCAAGGTACGCAATACTGATGTACACTTTCTCCTTTTCTTGTACACTTTCTCCTTTTCTTGCAAATTATTAGAAAGTCATCAAGGTATGCAATTACAAACTAGTATCATGGATAAGTCCCTAATCTCAAACTTCCTATTGTTGGCTTAGTCAACACTTTTCTATAGTTCCCCAGCAACAGTTCCTCATTTACCTCCTGCTCAACCGGCACCTTAACAATTAAAGCCGAACTGTGATTTGCAGTCTAGGTCGACTGTACACTGTTTGTTATGTCACAGTCAATCAAAAGAAAAAGCATCTCCTACTCCTTCAAGAAAAAACTGTCTGTTCTCATAGTCATGTGGAAACAAATGGTCCCAAGCTTGCAGTGAAAGCCTTCCTTGCCTGCCCTTTGCAATATGTTCACTACTTAAAGTTTGTTTGTTCCAGGGTCCTGAGCACTGTCTCCCCCACTGTACTTTGACCTGGTCCTCCAGATGGAACTGTCACATGCGCACATGATGGGTGCTGCCCCTTACAGATAGATAGAGCACACATGCATCAGCCGGTCAGATTACAAGCTGCCATGCTATTGTAACATCTACAAATTTCCCGACCCTTTCTGCCATGAAAGGACCTTTCTCTCTATCACCCTTTTGCCCTGCTGTTTTACCATAATTGCCCTGCCGACTATTCTGACTACCATCGTCCCGCCATGTCTATGGAGTGAATGTCATATTTCTATCACGCTTGTTGTATGATGGATCCTCTTTCCTACAAGCTGATGCTCTCTCAGCTGCTGATTCTGGCTTCCCCATGCGAAACCCTGAAGCATTTGCATTTCTCTGTATTCTTTGTCCTAGAGGAGTACTGAACCCCAAATATTTGTACCCGACAGCCTAAAAATGTTTATTTTTTCATTTTCGAACACAATTTCATCCAGTTTTTTTTCAATTATAGGAACGTATTGCAGAATGTTGACTTCGCAGCTCTTGATATAAAATTCTACTACTTGTGGCTGCTAAGACTCGTCATGCTGCTATCAACCTGTACGTCATATGATCACAGGTGACATCTCTATTGTTGACAATCACAAACTTCGTCAATAATTCAAATATTGACCTCAAATATTGAGCAACCTCTTACCTATTGGGATCACAACTTCAAAATCTTTATGGATGCTGTTGACGAAAAAGGCCAAAGAAATGGTCCAAAAGAGAAGAGGAACCTGTTGAAAGTCTTTCGGAGTGGGTTATGTCTTTGTATGATGCACAAAGTGAAAAAGAGGAAACAGAATTGGTATAAACCCATTCTGTCCAAGCTAGCTGTCATCCAAAGTCTGGCTGCCCTATATGAAAGGTTTATAGTTGTTTCCTCTTACAAGGCCACAAATAACACAACCATTATATAAAAGCATCAATGCATTAATTGTTTGATCAAAGAACTTGGTATAAGTGATATATTAAATGATGCCACATCTGCCAAAACCATGCATCAGTACTATCAACGTTTGACTTGACTCTTAAACCTGAAGACATATCCATTTGTCTTTTCAAAGATTCCAAAGCTGAATAAAAATTAGTACAACAAAATGTACCACCAAGTCCCTGTCTCAAAGACTAACCATAATCCTTAATGCAATCAATGAAGGACTTTCTTTATATTCACAGTAAGTATTTGAGACAAGTGGAATTAATTCTTTGTGGTTTCTTAAAAACTCAAAGGCTTTGTTTGACTTTTTTCCATCCCAGAAAAGAACCAAGTTGCATTCTGTCAAAACAATTGATTTTTCAACTTTGTACACCACTATCCCACGTGACTTCATTTCTTGATCCATGGTGCTTTTGTTACAAACCGTGGTGACCACAGATACAGTCACGTATCTATATTCAGATATTCAGGACCATTTGTAAACAATGAAAGCAAATGCCATCTGAAGTTTACTGAGAAAACAATATATGAAAGGCTGGACTTCCTCATGGATAACATCCACGTAAAAGATGGGGAGCCCAACGGTCTCCGATTGCGCTCCCCTTTTTGCGGATATGTTCCTTATGCATTTGGATCACAATGTCTGCTCGGGTTGACAAAGTCAAAACAAGATAATATGGCCAATAAGTTTAACCCAAGCTTCAGGCAAAGTGATGTTCTGATGTCGTTCAATAACCATCAAATTGTCAAATTTCCTTCCACTGATTTACCAAGCTAAACTAGAAATAAAGGAGACAAGTGAGGCCGCCTCATCTGTTTCATATTTAGATCTATGCATAAAGATTCAGAGTGACAATCAACACTCTCTACAAGACTGTATGACAAGAGTGATGGCTTCATTTTTCCAATAGTCAACTTTCAGGTCATGTTGATCCCTTGGTATCATACAGACTGTGTCCGCATGTCTCTCCATCCCTCTTTCATACAGTCTGTGTCCTAATCTATCTCCATCTCTCTGCATGATACATTCTGTGTCCCATTTTTATCTCTCTCAATCCCTTGGCATCATACAGTCTGTCTGTCTGTCTCACTGTCTGCCTCTCTCTCTCATTCTCTCTCATTCTCCTTCTGTATCATACAGATGTCCTAACTCTTGCTCTCCATCCCTATGCATCGTACAGTATGTCTGTCTTGATCATTTGTGTGTGAATCACCTTCAAAAAGAGATGATACTAGTTCGCGAAAAGGTAAGCGTATCCTGGTTGGTTGGTTTGTTGTTTAACGCCGCACTCAGCAATATTCCAGCTTTATGACAGCGGTCTGTAAATAATCGAGTCTGGACCAGACAATCCAGAGATTAATATCATGAGCATCGATCCACGCAATTGGGATGGATGACATGCATCAACCAAGTTAGCGAGTCTGACCACCCGATCTCAGAGCGTATCCTGCCCTGTCGGTGGCACCCGTCACAAAGACGTGAAAAGACAAGACGAAGTCAATTGTTCCCGTGAAAAAGACACGGGAACATGGTTCAAGTCGAAATGTGTGAAGCCCATTTGTGTCTAAACGCCGTGATGTTGCTTTGATACTAGTATTGCAAAAAGAGTCGTAAAACCACACTCACTCGCTCACGCACGCACGCACGCACGCACGCACGCACGCACGCACACACGCACGCACGCACGCACGCACACACGCACGCACGCACTCACTCACTCACTCACTCACTCACTCACTCACTCACTCACTCACTCACACCGTATTCGGGGGAGTTTAGATTCCCAACATGTGGACATTTGATGCCCATGATACGGCTGGAATAATAGTTTGAGATCGACGTAAAACTAAACTAGCCACTGGCTTTGGCTTTAAAGTAGTTCAACTTCATTGACTTTCTAAAGGTCTTCGCACCGCAAAGCAGAATTAACATATTCGTCTCCGTAGTTTACCTAAAGGTATCTTATTTGTAAAATACAAAAGAAAACCTGGGTTATCCTTTGATCTGATGTTTCTACTGTTACGTCTTTGTAAAAATACACAAACTGTTAGGAATTGCACAGATATTTCCGTCTGCAGTTCACTGCATGCCCTTATCGTTTTAAGGTAAGAAAAACTTCAATCACGCCATGGACCCCTCACCTTTCCTTAATTGCCTGATGCGTCTAGGCAGTTTCACTGATTCCCGACATTGAGTTGCGACTATTAACGGATAAGTCATGAATTCTTCAAGAACAGTCGGTATCGTATTGGTCTAACAACTACGTACCTCTTGTGATAGTGCCAACCACGGAAATAACAACTGTGAATATTTCATAAGAAAGCGCAAGAAACATATACTCATGTACATTTCGTGCGTCAGAGGATCAATTGCTTATCGATGTAAAATATATTAACAGTGCCGTCTGGCCTGTTGCAGTCCTGGGAAAATGTTAAAGGTAACTTAATTGCTTGTAATATATCCCTGAAAATGTTAACATATATCACGCGAAATTGACATCTATGTCTGCTGTGCAGGAGGGGAAAGATGGGGGATA